GACATACTAAATATTAGAAAAAAAAATTTTTTTTTTTGTTTTTTGACCTATAAAATAGAAATTTTTCTTTTATGTCATTGCATTTTTTTTTACAAATAAAAAAAAATTGAGTTTAAAAATCGTCACTTTATTTTATCGATTACAAATTTCCGGTAATATAGGGGAGGGGTGTGTAGTATGATAATGCAGAGCATTGAATCTCCGATTCCCCAGTTTCATATCTACCTTCTATACTATCCTCTTCATCATGTTCTAATTTGCATATTGGGCATAATGCCTCATCAGTAATTCCGTAATAATCGATATTTTTATCATTAAATTCATAATATAGGTTGGGATATTGCTCCAATATTTTGTTACGGAAATAAGCATGATCATTCCTTGGATTCTTGGGTTGAGATGCGGATAATATATCCAATATACTTACCTTAGTCTCTGGTAAAGATTTAACTTCCTCAATTATCTCATCTTCTGAATTGCTGGAAGAAGTGGTTATACTATCTGTTTCTATTTCAGATGAGATTTTTCTGGGACCGCCGGTCTTGGAAATTTCAGTATTTTCGGACGAAATTTGATGTCCTGCATTATTTGTATCGACGTTCTGACAAGAATAATTTATAATCTCTTGAATTTGATCATTAGTAAGCTTTGAAATGGAATTTGCACTATATGATTTAATGTATTTGATTTTATCATGGCCTATTTTTTCGAATAATATATAAATTTTCTCAGCTCTCTGAGTTTTTTTACGCAAGGCATCCCATGATACTTCTGGAAGGTGTAAATCCAATTCTTGAGATCTTTTTTTATGGATAATAGAAAGCTGTTTTATAATGGAATCATACAGTAAGCTTCTTGCCCTCTTTTCACTAATTTTACCTCCACTACTCACTATAATCTCATTATATTGAAGTCTAAAATCCTTTGCACAGAGAGACCAATATAAAATTTCTTCTTAATTAGCTCGATTTGCTCTATCTTCAGCATCGAAAGCTTTATCAATAATTGAGCTAGATGTTGCCATACTTCATCAATGTCAGATTTTCCAGGACCGCCGGTCTCAGAAATTTCAATCACGTGGTTTTGAATTATTTGCGATTTTTGTAGAGACGGCTCTGGAATAAATAATTCTTGAATCAACCCCCGTCCACCTTTTACATTCAAAGGAGATTTAGTATCCTGAGAAGTTGTGATTTTCTCTTGATCTAGAAGTTTTTTTTCCTTATTGCTAACCTGTTCCCTATACGTTAAATCCAGAAATTTGTCGATCTCCTTATCCTCTAAAGTTATGATTTCTGCGGGAGATATGGGGATCACCAAATCCTGGTATATATCAGAATTGCCAGAGGCAGACACTTCGTGGCTAGATGTGTTAGACTTCTCATAGGTATCGTTAGAATTTAAAGTATTATCGGTTATATCAAATACTGGGGTATCAGTGGCATAGCCACGAGTCTCTGACTCATTACATTGTTGCACTATCTGTTTTGAAGTATCGTTAGAATTTACTGGAGATTGCGAAACATCTTCCGTAGAAATACTTTTTTTCTTTTCCCCCTGTTCTAATATAGCAAGCCTGGTCTCAAGCTCTATATTCTTTTGCTCTAGTTCCTCAACTCTAGCATCGCGCTTTGTATTCTCTTCTATAACCTGCTTTAGCCTCACGTTCTCAGCCTTGATCTCAGCGTTCTCCTTTCTAAGTTCAGAAACCTCAGCCAAAAGCTTCGAATTTAATTCTTTCAAGGAATCGATTTTGGATCCTGTATTTTCCATTGTTTTAAGTAAGATACAGATATGTTCAAAGTCTTTTTATTGTGCAGATATAGAAGTTATTTACAGTATGTGCCAAGAAAAAAAATAATTGCGACTACATAATGACCCAAGGCACCGCATTTGTAATCAACCGTGATGTAGCCCTTGATGTACCGTATCGTGCACTGATTCATATAAATACATATATAGGAAAATCAATGTTTTTATTGATTATACTGTGATGGGTCGTGATTAATTAGCTTTTCCGAAGGCAGTCACATAGTGGCCAGAAAATAAATTTACATGTTATATTTTTTATCATCCCACTGATCAACGCTTTCGTTTCGTGATAGCCCCTGATCGCATATATTATTTAGCGGAGCTAATATAGTAACTGTATAACTGCTTTCAGCAAGACGCTAATAAGATCATCATTTTATCAAAAATAAAATTATTCCGACACCCATCCTCTAGATTTTATTTTCAGTTACAAATAAATTCCTACTTTTCTAAACTAATTTTTCTCTTATTTGAAGTACTAAAAAGGGAATTTATAAGAAAAAATGAAAGTAATCAATAAATGCTAGGGGACCGCGTTATGAGACCGGCGCACATAGGCTCTCGATCTTTTCCAAACACTGATCCTTATCTAACAACCAGGCTAGGGGACCGCGCTATGAGACCGGCACATAGGCTCTCAATCTAATTCCAAACACTGATCCTTGTCTAGCGAGTTTGATTACAATGGTAAGAAAAAAAAGTAAAGTTCTAAATAGCATACTATATTTCCACGCAAAATATATCATTTCTTCTGAATTTTTTTTTGTGGAGAGATTGGATTTAGTGACAACCATTCTGTTACACGTACGATATTCTTTTTTTTGGCAGATTTCGTGTAATCATGACAGATATCATCATTATGTCTGAATATTCTCTGAAATAATGTAATTAGAAAAGACTCATTAAATTTAGGTAACAATGAATAATAGTACATACTTCTATCAATAGCATCATCTTGCAAATATCCGCCAACTTTGTCCAGTCATCCTCATATTTCCAAGGCACCTCTAACCAGTAAATTTTTTCAGCAAGACATTTATCTTTACCAGCCAAGCATACCCTCCAGAGTTCACCTTGATTTTCTAGTTTGTTATTTGAAAGTCAGCACCGAATATTCATTTTCGAAGGTAATGCAATTTTGGAAACTTAACTATGTACGATATATATTAATACGATATATTTCCTAGATATTTCTGCGTCCCCTTGCCTGTTAGTCCAGAATTTCCTGCAAAGAGTATCAACCGCATTACGAAATGATTTATTCAAATCTCTGAAAAATTTCCAAGATACGATTTGTTAGGAAGTAATTTTGTTGTTTCCAGGAATCAAATCTCTTAACGTACCTGTGATATTTTGGAAGGTTTTCTTTTTTTGGCGAGCATACATTTTCAAACACCAATCTTTCTATCTTGCTATTATTTACAAAAAGTATTCCATCGCATTTTCGACCAGTCTTCTTATTAGACTTGTATACGCTCTGTCTTCGCCATTTTGATGATGGATGTATCGTTTCGCACCACGAACTTATGAATAAACTGGGTTCTTTGTTCTTCAATACTTCAAAATCTGGAGCAATTCATGTTGCTGTATATGTTGCTTCGTTCATGGTTTCGTTAAATTCTGATTTCCACCTATAGGCCCTAAGAATTTAGAACAATATCAGTAAACTGAATAAAGATTAATTGAGGATCAGCTGATAATATCACCAAGCATCCAATATTCTTTTTATAAATTCAGCATCCTTTTGAGCTAAGTCAACTTTTTTCTCTTGAATAGACTTCATAGTGTTTTTCACATTACGCTTATGATAATAGAACAAAATGTTTTTATTGTTATGCAATTCCAGTAATACATCGTTGTTGGCACACGTACCTCAAATACATCTAATACGAAATCATCAATTGCATCTTTTTCTTTATCTGTGATGTCTGGAACTGGATTTTCAAGAGCCCATTGCTTCAATTCGTTGTGTTTATCTTCCTCGTGATTGGAAATATTTATAACTTCAGCTGTACAATAACTAAAACGGAATTTAGTATAAATTCAAAAAAACATAACTCAAAAATCAGGAAATAACCTTTCGTCGAATTCATCATCAGTCGTATAATCACTTTCGCTTTCACTTTCTATATTGTCCTCTATCAAATTTCTTATGAAAAAAATAGTTAATCTCACCGTATAAATACATTATTTATTATAACAACGAGTAGGACCTCTTGTCAAATTCTTCGTCAGTTTCGTCATAGTCATTTTCTCCCTCTACATCACTCTCCACTAGGCTAGACACAAGATGGAAAGTCAATAAAGACATCGATAATCGTATTGATTTATATTACCGCTGACCTTTTGACATCATAATTTGAATATTTTTCCAGAGGACTAACTTCACGGCGTCTTCTCTTGATTTCATGGTCAAGGTCATCTACCCACTTTTGCCCGATGATAGTATCAAATTCCATAACTCTTTTTTCTGCATTGGCCCTATGTTGAAGTTGATAAAGATTCTCTTTCTAAAGAGTAAAGAAAAATTTTCCGAAATAAACACGAAACCACTGCGAAATTTCTCAAAGTTATACAATATTTATAATTTATATTTTGTACCTCCGCATAGTATTTAGTCGTAAGCTTACCCCAGTATTGATGACATGCTGGTGAGGTAAGGAACTGAAAATTATCGACCTTCAAATGTTTTACATATTGCCTTACTTCCCTTTCATGGTAATTTAATAGGCATCCAACAGTATCTCTAAGAGTTTGCTCTGCTTGGACTCGATGGTCGTGCTTGAATTTAAGCTCTTCGAAAAATGATATTGCAACTTCGGACTTTTCATCAATGGAAATCAAACGTTTTGTATCTAACTTTTCTTTTATAATTTCCACGAGTAGGCGATTGCGTAAAGTTTTCGGATCTGGGTTTCCCCTCTTTATAAGATTTGGTTTTCGCACCATCTTAGAACTAAACTAAAACGCGAATTTTTGAATCAAATTAACAAAAAAATTATGATCACATGATACCAATTGTACCTATGAAAACTTATTTAGGTACTGTCGTGATTATCGTTTATTTTTTTATGCACTAGAGGGAGTACGCGGACCTAGGCCATTTAATGCGCTTCTTATAATTTTTACACCTAATCTATATCCTAACTATAATCTTTGTCTACTCAAAATAAATTTTCCCATACATATTACATATCACCCACACAGATTTTATAAAAAGTTTCGATTTTAGCTAAGTTTCGTAAGAGAACTTGAATCTATAGCATAAATTCCAGAGATTAACAACTGAGGTAAATAAGTTATAAAATTTCCAATTCACACTTACCGCTATACTTAATTTTCATAATATTCCACTCCGCCTCATATTCAAGAAATCTGTTACTTAATGCGTTATAATGAAGGTCAGACTTTGTTGCGCCATATGTGTGTAATTTCACTGCGTCAAAAATTTTTTCAAAATGCCGATATATTGATTAATATGTCCGCTTTATTCTGGAACACCTATAGAGGCGAGAGAATCGATTAGCACCATGATGACATGTTTCAAGAAGCTAGCTGAGCAATAAAACAAACATACTTTGTTATCACTTTGCGGTATATATTTGTTCGTTGGAATGATAATATTGATGATGTAAATAATAGTAAGTTTGGTTATTTCGCTTGATTTTTTCGTTTTGTTTGCACAAGGCAGATAAAAGGATTCGCTAACAGGGACATCACCATTTTATATAATTTGCAGGATCGATATTGGAATACGCTTTTGGGGGAAATTACGTTAATATGATCACATCACGAAAATCTGATCAACGGCCTCTCCTTAACTTAATAAAAAAGAATTTAATGCTATCCCGATGAAGTTATGATCACCTATAATCCTGGTTCAACAAAGGGGTTTTATTATATAAAATTCATTGAGTACATGCGGGAAGTTTCGATATATGATGACGAACTATCTGTATAATTGGTACTGAAAGAATGGTACTGCGCATTTCAAATTCTAAATCGATAACTTCGTTGTAATGAAACTTGATCGAGAAATATTAGCATACACGCTCACTTCGCATCCCACACCAGATTTTGTTAATGCGCTTATGTATTAGTAAAACTGACGTAGTTAAATCATGTTAACGCTGGCAAAAAGTCTTTATTGGTACAAATAAAAATAGTACATTTACATGTGAATGGGATAATTATCTACCAGTTATTCTTCGGTAATTTTTTTGATCCTTGCTCTCTTACTAGCTGGAGAGCTATCCACACTAATTCGGTCCTTTAATAACCCAACAATTATCCCGATTACCTTTTTTACACCGCTTCGAAGTACGTCCAGATTTTCTTTAATCGCAGTTTTGGAGAGGTTTATTTGATGCTCGCTATTACTCGTAGCGTATATCCCTTCGGGTGTGTATATGATGAAATGCCATTCCATGGCTAAAAAAATAAACCAGACAATTAGCGAAAAATCTGAAGTGGGACTTTTGGTCCTAGGTTTTCCGATCATTTTTACTAAGAAAAAAATACGTACCTGTTGATACGATACCATAGAGATAATCAAAATAATCACCCCCAAATGCTTGATCTGCCGTCCGTTTCTTTTTATTGGTCTGGTACGCACTTTCAATTTCCAGTAAATTTTGAGCGTAGCCAATCCTGATATTTCGTGGTTTTGCTCCAGTAATGCAGAGGAGATCCTCAAAGCTCTTGATTGCGTAGTCGACCCGACCTGTGGATTCTTCACCTGATATATCCTTCTGCAGAGCGATAAAAATATCTTCGGTTGTGTGTTTTTTAGCGATATCGATTGATGCATGTAGGATAGCCGAAATAAATTCACAGCGTGTTGCCTCGTTAGCGTCGGTCATCGTCTCAATATTCGATAATTTCAGGATTATATTGTCCATGCAATGATTGAAGGCCTTATCGTTACCGTCTATTTTCTCGAATACTGAATATAAAAAACATAACTATTATTTGTTGATATAAAGACTAGAAAAATGGAACGGCCAATAAATTATTTCATACCTGGACAAAATTGTCTGATATTGGCAATTTCTTCTCCATTTACTTTATATTTACGAAGAACGACTTTTAACTCATCTCGAGTTTTATAAGTCGAGAAACTTCTGATATCTCATCGATAAAATCTGCAAGTCTTTTTGCTAGGCCAGCTTTTAACCCATAACTGCGAAACTCCTCTTTAGGTGTGTTAAGAAAGTCACGACCAGAAATCCTTTCATTACGTAGGATCCCCCCTGAATTGTAACATTGCCCTGTATTAGAATGGAATCAAAAGATTAGCATACTATCACTGGGAAATAATATATAGGCTTTAGCCTGGGATACATGTTAACGTTTCTATGTTACTAATGACAAATCAAAGCCTTGGTCAAAACATCTGAAACCATGTTTTGCAGGAATGTAGTTATTGCAAATTGATTTTTTTATTATTCAAATACGCATACACTATATTACTATTTTAAGCACGCTTGTTAGGCTGTGTAAAAATCGAAAAGAAATTTAAGAAAGCCATAAAACTAAAATACTAAAATAAGTAACTAATAATAATCTTCCCATTTCGTAATCTGCTCATATACAGTTCCATTATCTTCAAACCAACACAACTGATCTACCCCTTTAACTATGCGTTTCGATGCTTCTTCGGGAGAATCACCAAGTGGCCATAAAGTTTGACTCTCATTTTCCCATAAAAAAACACGACCATAACAGTCTAAAAAGATCATTCCATACTCTGTCTCCCCGATAATAATTATATGATCAAAGCCGAAATTAGCAACACATCTTATATGATAAATTAGTTCTTTAGGATCACTATCAAGAACTTCATAATTAACCAAGGTTGCAATACGAGAATTATCTTTAAATGCATCAACTAAGATGAGCGAATCGTTGCAACGCGACGTTCTTCCATTTTTTCCTTCACATAATTGCACTTGAGACATGGTTGTAGGATTTTCGGTAATTGATTTTCCTTTACTGGTAAAGCGAGAGTCCGCGTGTACAAGGCGACACGTTTTCCCGGGGACAATCTTTTTCCAACCATCGCCTCCCAGGGAACCGATTCTGAGCAGTTTCCCAAAGGATGCTTGCATTTTTCCAATTGTTCCAGTGTTAGGACATCCTTCACGTTCTTTGCCCAACGTAATATCTGTATTTTCTCCGTCCTTGTATTTACCACCTCCATCCTCACTGTTGGATGGCAACGAATCGACGAACCCATCATAAATTTCACATCTTTGCCTTTCCGTTTCGATACTTGATTTGAGTATGTGAGGTTCACTGTTGTCGGACGCAATATTGGATCTGGCTGTACTATCTTTATACTCTGTGCTAAGCGTTCCTGACTCTCGTATAGATATTTGATTTGCTCCTCTACTGTCATCTTCTTTGAGGGCCGATACGCGTAACTCCAAAGGAGACTCCAAGCATCGTAAAACGTAATGATTGGTATCGGTTGAAACTTGTCTAGGAATACTGTTTTTCCTGTAGGATCGCAAGGTGTCAATACCCCCTTCGTTCTATATAAAATAAGATTTTTGAATTCGTTTTTAAAAGATTTTTTTCCCTGCTCTTTCTCTCCTTACCTGAAAGGCACCACGAAATCGGTAATCAGTTCCTTCTGCCAGCTTAAAAACCTCAAACTGACAAACAGACTAGTTACTAAATATATACAGTCGTTGCCATAAATCGTGCTGATAATCAAGCGATCAAGCTTAAAGTGCGAATCATATGTAGAATGACGTTATATTTATGTCTATATTACATCACAGATTAACGAATTCCGGTTTTCGTCATACGATACGCCTGTTCTAGTTTTATAGTTCTCAGAATGTTCTTGCATGTTTGCAACCGCACAGCCCTATTCTTTTCTCCCATGTTTTTCATCGCAAATAGAGCATGATGATTAAGCTAATGAACGCTCTAACACGAATTTGATAATTAACTCTGAATCAAGTTTATCAATTTCGGATACAAGCCTGGAATTCAATTCCTTCAATGAATCAATTGTAGATTGCATGTTTAGTAATATATTGTATATGTTCTGTCATTTATTGATGAAATTTCACAACAATGCTCATCATAATGCCAAGAAAAATAAAAATAATTCGGAGGAACACCTCTACTATCACGCATAAAATTAATTTTCAGAAAAAAAGACTATTTTTTGGTAAGTTTTTTGATCCTAGCTTTCTTACTGGCTGGGGAATTATCTACACTGATCCGATCCTTTAACAACCCAACAATAATGCCTAGCACTCGTTTTATTCCTTTTCGAATAGAGTCAAGATCCTCCTCGAGCGCCGTTTTAGAGAGATTTATTTGATATTCGCTTTTACTGGTACAATAAATACCGTCACTTGCAAATACGATGAAATGCCATTCCGTAGCTAAAAAATAACGATGATTTTCGATCAATCAACTCTGAATGCAAAATACTATAAGCTGTAATTTACCAGTAGAAACTATCCCATAAAGATAATCATAATCATCATCCCGGAAAGCCTGATCAGCTGTACGTTTCTTTTTATTTGTATGGTATGCACTTTCCAATTGCATAATATTCTGAAGGTAACCGATTTCGACGTTACGAGGCTTTCCTTCGGCTATGCACATAAGATCTTCATTCCCTTTTATTGCATAATCAACACGTCCAGATGTTTCTTCTCCAGATACGTCTTTCTGATACGCAATATAAATTTTTCTTCTTTCGTGAGCCTTCGGACGATCGCAAGAGACGCATTTAATATCGATGTAATAAATACACAACGCGTGGCTTCGTTGGCGTTGGTTTGCATCGTTTCCAGATTTGAAAGTCTCAGTATTATTTCGTTCATGCATTGCTTGAGAGCTTCGTCATCATTATCGATTTCCTCATAGACTTATACAAAAATATCATTGATTTTTTCGTAGCTGGAAGCTGGTACGATTAAGATGTATATATTGTAAGTATAAAGATTACTCACCTGGATTGAATTGTTTTATACTCGTGATATCCTCCCCGTTAACTTTATATTTACGGAGTACACCCTTCAACTCTTCCAAGGTTTTATATGACGAGAAACCTCTTAATTTTTGTTCTGTTATCTCACCGATAAAATCTGTAAGTCTTTTAGCGGGACCAGCTTTCAATCCATAACTTCGGAATTCTTCTTTAGTTGTTTTAAGAAAGTCACAACCAGCTATTTCTTCTCGTCGAAAAATTTCAAAATGAGTTTCATTAAGTTTTAAATTATTCCTCTGCAAATAATCGATAAGTTCCTCAGTATCATAATCCTTTATTACGTCCCCCATGGTACGAGTTATTTTTTCTTCGTCAGAGTATATGCTTGAAGGTGAGGATGGTGAAGAGGCGTGTGAAGACATGTTACTTTTATACGTGGAAATTTACAAATCTTGTTTATGTATCTCGCTAATAAAAGCTAGGTAATGCGATGCAAGTGAAAAATGAAAAATTTTATCGTATCTGTTTTTGGGTGATCGGTGGTTTATATACTACGATGGAAGTTACACGAACTGATTAGGGGATATGAGACCATTGAATCACGCCTAACACGTCGTTGTTTTATTATGAAAAACTTGCCCGTAGATAAAAAAATCTAGTTATTGGGAGGGGTTACATAAACATGAATTTCATTTTCATCAGAATTCCCATTAAAAAATTTAGAAATTCTAACCGTTGGTTTCATAGACCCACCATTTGGAGTTAAACTAAGTTTGATTTGAGTAGAAGGAATGGTATCAAATAAAGGCGCCAACCGTTTTTTTACGATAGGTTTAAG